TGTGGTCATTGCAGTGAATTGTTGAAGTAGCAAGGAGTGCAGCCATGGTGGGGGTGGTTGTTGATGTCAGAGTTGGTAAAGAAGGTTGGAGAGTGAAGGCTTGTCATAGGAATCAGTCTTGAGCTGATACTGAGTTTGTTTCTCCTTTCATCTTGTGCAGTCAGGACATCAACCACCATCCCCATGCCATTTAGAGCATCATTTGTTTTAGGTGAATTCATTCTATCAGTAAACTTGAATAAAATTAGCTCAGTCCCATTGGATCCCAATTTTTAATGCTGAAGAATGGAACCAGAAGATGTACAAGTTATCTCCCACTGTCAAAAGTTCACTTTATGCCACTTACACTCCAATAAATATTTACAGCCCCAGAAACTATGCCAGGTTGCTATGAGTTGGGACTGACTCTGTGGTATACAGCCACCACCACTTGTTGTTAAGTGCTATTGAGTAGGTTCCGACTCATAGCAACCCTGCATGGGGCTGATGAGTTTGAACCACTCACCTTGCAGTCCAGTGCATTAACCTGCAGTGCCACACCAGGATTATGCTGCTGTTAAAAGGTAGTATGCACACTTGGAGTAGTAACACCAGCTCCTAATCAGGGAACAACACTTAGCATCAAGCCGCCATAGCTTTTAAGTGTCTGAACCCTATGTGTTAGTCTGATTTTAGGTTTTATGTGTGATTTGGCCGCTTTGGTTGGTTATTTAAGGGGTCTGGGAATGTTCAAAACTTTTCCATGTAAATTAATGGTAATTGCTCTTGGCTTTAACACATTTTCAGCTTAAAGTTTTCATAGCAGCATTCTACTGTCAGATTTGTTGTTAAGTGCCTTTGGGTTGGTTCCAACTCAAAGCAACACTGCATAGAGTTTAACTGGAGATTTTAGATCTTTGCGGGAACAGAGAGCTCCATTGTTCTCTCTCAGAGTGGCTGAGAGACTGGAACCAGAGACCTTATTCACACAGCCCAGTGTTTATCTTAGGGAGCCACATCCCTCCCCCTACTTTCAGATAGGAGAGACAAATTTGTAATCACGTAGAGTTAACGCTAGGGGGTAGCAATAAGCTATTTTGCATTCAGGCATATTGCTTAATTTCATCCTTGTGCATGTCTTTTTTTTTCTTTTAGTAGACAGACTCATAACCTTTTTTGTGAATCTCTGTATATTGGCTCAAACTGTTGTTTTCACTTGTAGAAATTTTGGTGGTAACAGAAAAATAAGCAAAATAATAATTATCTGCTGCAGGTTAATGTGCTGGATCACAAGTTTGGGGGTTCAAACTCAACAACCGCTCCTCAGAAACCCTAAACAGGGTTGCTGTGAGTCAGAACTAACTCAAAGGCACATAACAACAATATAACTACTTTGGTAGTTGGTTTGTTAGTTATATGCCTTGGAGTTGTTTCCAACTCACAGCGACCCTGTATAGGGTTTCTGAGGCTGTAAATCTTTATGGGAGCAGAAAACCTCATCTTTCTCCCATGGAACTTCTGGTAGTTTCAAACTGCTGTGAGATTAGCACCCTGGCTTATAACCACTATGCTACCAGAGCTCCTTTACATATGTTAATTCACTTATTTTTCACAACCTATGAGTCGGAACCAACTACACGGCACATAACAACATGAGGTAAGTGCTATATCTTTATTTTTTAAAGATAAGGAAACTGAGGCTGAGATATATTAAGCTTGTCCAGATACATATGTATGTATCTATCAATATTCAGGAGTCATGTTGTGGGGCTGTGGGTTAATGTGCTGGACTGCAAAGTCGGTTTGAACTGAAAGATTGGTAGTTCAAGTTCACCAATCGTTCCTCAGAAACTCTATACAGGATCCCTATGGGTCGGAACTGACTCGACAGCACTTAACAACATAGATATATAGCAAGTGACAGTTGTGGTTTGAACCTGAATCATTTAGCATATATGCATTGTATTATTGATGATGAGGTAAGTCAAAAAGTATTGTTACTAGGATTCATGTATGCATGGGTTTACTTAAAACAGATGTTTTTAAACATGTCTTTGTGATCTTTGGGTGGCTGCATGCATTCGTTTGAGTATCGTCAAAGGAATGAAATACTGAAAACCATCTGTAAAGGTCAGCTAGCTTAAGGAGCTGATCTTTCCATCAGTATTTTTGAGCAGGATAAAAGATAATGAAGATGATTTAATGAACAAATCATAACGAGGGACACAGCTCAGATTTACCCATACCATCCAGAGAACAAGGTCCAATCAAATGGTACCTTCTGAAGGGTTCTATTTAAGTCAAAGAGGTGGCTCTGAAGGTTATGGCAGCTGTTTTGGGTGACACAAAAGGGATAATCTTGATAGATATTCTCAAAGGACATAGGACAATCATGGGATCTTATTAGACGTTTTAAGAAAATTGAAAGCTGCATTGCTGAAAAACTGGTCAAGAAAATTGAGTTGATGTTTTTTCATCACGACAATGCACATACTTATTCTTTGAGATAGCAAGCAAGAGCTGTTCTAGGACAATCTTTTTTTTTTTTGAAACCTGACAGCCTTGATCATGCCCTTTTTCTAAAACTCGAACATTTCAAAGGAACGTGATTTGAGTCTCAAGGACACCCAAACTACTGTTGTGACATGGTATAAATTAAACAGCACAGAAGGGTTAAAGAGATGGAAACGGCACCTTCAGAATTGTATACAGACCTAGATGAAGGATATGTCAAGAAACAATACCTTTATGACTTGCTATTTTAGTTTTATAAAGGTTTCTATGATTTTGTAATAGTATTTATTACTTACAGTAAATCTTTACTCATCTCATATTTTCTTAAGGCTAGATTCCTAGAACTGTTGAGTCAAATTTTTTTTTTTTTAATATTTAGATATGTTTACGCTCGAGAAAGGGTATGTACCTATGTCTACCTATGTCATGTCATTTACACTGTTATTTAGTCTAATCTGTCCCACTTTGGTAGGCGAAAAAGGTCATGACATTATTTTACTTAGAAGTTTTTAATGATATTTTTTTGCTTTAATATATTTTTTATTAGCTATTTGTGTTCCATTTAGAACTGCCTATTTATTACATTAAAGTGCATGTAAAGATTAGTCCCATAGGGAGACCTTTACAGAACTGGGGGATAAAGAAACAACCACAAAAACATTATGAAAAAGAATCTCTTGACATTTTAATATTTCTAACATATTTTGGAGGCCTGGTGTAGCACTATAGGATAAGCACTGAACTACTTAACCTCAAGGGTAGCAGTTCAAACCCACCAGCTGATCATTCAGAAACCCTGTACAGGGTTACTATGAGTCAGAATTGACTTAGCATTACTTAGCAATAACAACAGCGTATCTCTAGTATCATCAGTACATAAAGTAGATGTAGATTAAGTTGGGTCAAGTCATTTAAATTGCATTCTCTTTAGATGTTTCTGTGTAATTGTTTGTTTGTTTGTTTTCCCCTTTTACAGTTGACATCCTGCTGAAAGCTGTGGGAGACACCCCTATTATGAAAACAAAGAAGTGGGCTGTAGAGAGAACCCGAACCATCCAAGGACTCATTGACTTCATCAAAAAGTTCCTTAAACTTGTGGCCTCAGAACAGTTGGTATGAGATCCGTATTGATCATACCCCTACCAAAAATGTGCAATAGTTCCTAACTTGTTGGGCAGCAAAGACTTCTTGTAGGTGCCATCAAGGCGATTCTGACTCATGCCAGCCCTATGCACAACAGAACGAGAGTCTTTTCCTTCCTGGCTTCTAAGGCTTTCTTCTGGCAGTCCATGGTACTTTTAGTATTCTTTAGCACCGTAAGTCAGATGCATCAATAATTCTTCAGTCTTCTTATTCATTGGACAACTTGTATATGACATTATTAAAAATAACCATGGCTTGGGTCAGGCACACATTAGTCCTCAATCTGACATCTTTGCTCTTGAACACTAAGAGGTCTTTTGCAACAAATTTGCCTAAAGCATCATTTGTTTCATGGACTGCTGCATCCAGGAGTGTTGGTTGTGGGTATATAGAACTATCAGTATAGAAAGGATTATTTTCATGTATTCCATAATTAAGGACAAACTATTGACAATGTGTGAGTTTTGGTGTGGCGCTGTGGGCTAATGTGTCAGACTGCAAAGTCATTTGAACTGTAAGGTTGGTGGTGCAAGCTCACCAGCTACTCTATGGAAATTCTGTATAGGGTTGCTATGGGTTGGAATCAACTCGACAGCACTTAACCACAGTGACACCATGCAGGAGCTCGAGGAATTTTGTTTCCATGAGCCCCTCCTGAGTAGTGTGCTAGAGAAAGCTGATGGTTGTTGGTAGGTACCCTCGAGTCGGTTCTGACTCCCAGCGACCCTATGCACAACAGAACAAAACACTGTCCAGTCCTGGGCCATCTTCACAGTTGTTACGTATGAGCCCAATGTAGCCACTGTTTCAAGCCACGGCATTGAAGATCTGACTCTTATTTTATCAAACATGATATCCTTCTCAGGAACGGATTCCTCCTAATAGCATGTCCAAAGTACTTGACAAAGAATCTTACCATCCTCGCTTTTAAGGAACGTTCTGTCTATGCTTCTTCCAAGACAAATTTGTTTGTTCTTTTGACATTCCATGGTACTTTTCAATATTCTTCACCAATACCAACCAGAATTCAAATGCATTGATTTTCTCTGGTCTTCCAGAGATGCATATTAGGGTATTAAAAATAGCATGGCTTGCTTGGGTCAGGCGTATTGGTGTTGCCACTTGGGATATGCACTGCCTCAAACTAGTACCCTTGCTCTTTACCAGTTTAAAGAGGTCTTTTGCAACAGATTTGCCCAATACAATACTCATTTGATTTCCTGACTGTTGGCTGGATGGACTCTGTGGATCCAAGTAAAATGAAATCCTTGTTGATGTCAGTCGTGTGTGCACTTACAATGTTGTCTATTAGTCCATTTGTGAGGATTTTTGTTTTCTTTATGTTGAGGTGTAATCCATACTGAAGAAGGTAGTTTTTGATCTTCATCAGTAAGTGCTTCAAGTTCTTTTTACCTTCAGCACATAAGCAAGGTTGTATCGTCTATATACCTGATGACAAAATCTTCATATAGTCTAGTTTCTCACATTATTTGCTCGGCATACAGATTGAATAAATTGATTGATTTTAAACCACATAGTATCCCCTTCTTCTGTTGGAATGGCTGTCTCTTAGTCTGTGTACAGGTTCCACGTGGGCACAATGAAATGTTCTGGAATTCCCATTCTTCACAGTGGTGGTGCACATTTTTTATGATCTACACAGCCAAATGCATGTGCATATTCATTAAAAAGCAAGTGAACATCTTTCTGGTATTCTCTGTTTACAGCTAAGATCCATCTGACATCAGCAATGGTATTCCTCATTCCACTTCCTCTTCTGAATCTGGCTAGAATTTCTGGCAGTTTCTTGTTGACATATTGCTGCTTTATCCTCAGCAAAACTTTGCTTCCATGTGATGTTAATGATATCTGATAATTTCTGCATTCTGTTCTTTTCTTTGGAATGAGCATCTGCATGAATCTCCTCTAGTCAGTTGGCCTTGAATTTCCTGACATGGACATGAGTGCTTCCAGTGTTGAATCCTTTTGTGAACACATCTCAATTAGTATCCCATTAATTATTGTGACCTTGTTTTTAATGACATTTTGCTTCATGGCATATGCCCTTGATGTCATTTCACAATTCATTTGGTAAAACATCTTTGGCTTTTGTGGTTGGTGTGTAATTTTGTGAAATAGTCGTTAACTGATCTTCCTTGCAGTCCTGTTATACTTCAGGATAGCTCTTTAACTGTGCTATTTAATAGTGAATGTGACACTGTTCCTCTTCAATTTGTTATTTCTGGGATAGTAGGACATACTATTGTCCAATTCAAAATGGCCAATACTAATCTGTTTTCAGCTCATTAAAGCCTAGGATGTCAAACTTTAAGCTTTGTTGTTTTAAGTGTTGTCCATTCAGTTCCAACTAATAGCAACCCTGTTTAGGGTTTCCGAGGAGCAGCTGGTGAGCTTGAACCACCAACCTTGCGGTTCAAACCGACTTTGCAGTCCAGTGCATTAATGCGCAGCGCCACACCAAGACTCCCAACTTCAAACTTTAGAATGGCAAAAGTCACTGGAGAGACATCAAAATGAGAACTAGTGACTTAAAAGTAATTTATTTAAAACAAATATAAAATTTTTCTCTTCCTAAGTTTTAGCATTTAGCAAAAAACTGCATTTGCTCCCATGATTCATTTCATAAGCCTGTGATAACTAAGTATATCTGCTGTAACCAGTGACAGATAACAATTTGGGTCATTTCATTGTTTCATCAGAGGGAATGATGATGATTCCATATATTTTTAGAGTTTGATAGTATACAAACTCATTTACTTGTTTAAGTTTCATTTGCTAACTGTTTGGCATTGTGATGTGGTGCTGTAGGATAAGTACGCACCCACAAGGTCAGTTTAAACCACAAAGTTGGTGGTTCAAACTCACCAGCCACTCCTCGGAAATCCTATACAGGGTTGCTATGAGTCAGAACTGACTCGATGGCATGTAACAACAACAACAATTACACAGTCACATCTAGTTTCTGTAATTCTGTATTCTGTTCCATTTACTGTCCCCCTCAGCATTCACTTCATTAAGCTTTGTCTCCTTTGCCTACAAAGCCCTGCCTGATCACTTCTTTCTTTGTCTGGTTTAAATCCTGCTTATTCCTCAAATCTTGGTTCTGGCATCTCTTCTAGAAATGCTTTCCAAACTTGTTTGTTAGACTACACTAATTTCATATCTCTCTAAGCCGTGTATCTCATTAGAAGCACTTTCCTTGTATTAATCTTTATAGTCCCATGCTTTGTACACTTCTCAGAGCAAAATACTCAGTGAATCTTTGCTGAATTAAACTAAGTTCTCATCCAAAGCCCTTTCCATAATTTAATATGTATTCCAAAAGGAGGGGGGTAATTAATTCATATAAAAGTATTGGAACAATGTCTGGCACATCTTTAAAATTTTTTTGAATTTTTTATATGTTTAGAAACTTAGTTTTAACCTTGAACTATTTAAAAATAATATAACAGTGTCTGTTGCTGTACAAACTAAGCTATTTGAAATGTTGAACAATGGATCCCTTAAAGATCAAGGTTTGACATTGGGTTTAAATTATACTGCCCTTTTTGTTTGCTTCATTTGGCTGCAGGTGACTATAGTAGTGAAATCCTGAAGTTATACAATGTATTTAAGAATTTTCAAAGGTCAGAAAGGTCGAAAACAACCATTTGCTTTACATTTACCCAAGATAAATGTACAGATTACATATATAAATAATTCTTGAATTTTGGCTCTGAAAGTTTGTTAGCAGAAATTCTGTCCTTAATTATGGGTGAATGGAACAATTAAAATGTTTAATCATGTAATGGCTTGAATAATCCTTCAAAAGATATTTAAAGAAAAAAATTTTACATTTCCCAGTTATAGAATGTTGGGAACCACTGTCTTAGGAATAAAAGTTCTGTTGTTTTTGTTCCTTTTGAGGAAAGAAGTGATTTTCAAAAAGATATCATTGTTTTGGAAAGTTTTTGGTACTTTTGAAGACAAAGAATTTGAAGCAACTAGCTGATTGGAACCCAGAAAAAAATAGTTTAATTAGGGTGCCATTAGAAATTAATCTCCCTCATCTTTTTGCCTTTCTTACAGTTTATTTATGTGAACCAGTCCTTTGCTCCTTCCCCAGACCAAGAAGTTGGAACACTCTATGAGGTAGAACTAATTACTGCCTCTTTTTCTTAATAAGAGTATACACACCTGTGTGTAGTCTGATTATTAATTTACGTGTTTAAGAGATGCGTGTTGTTTATTGTCTAAAGAGGAAAACAAAATGACTATTTTTCAAACATAAATGTAGTAGGATCTCAGTATATTGCACACAGAATGAATAATCAAAGAATGCATAGTGCAAACAAAAGATGACTGAAATATACTCAAAGTAAGGTCTCCTTTACGTACAATTAGTTATCCAGATATACCGCAAAGGACTTGAAAAGGAGATTACATAAAGCCACCACTATTCATCATGGATGGAGATGTAGAGACAACAGGACAAGTGAAATATGTAAGCTTATCCATGCTTCATAATTAGAGGGCAGGTTTTGCTGCACATTTGTGGTTATTGATACGTGTCAGTGACAGGCATCTGTTGAAAGAAATAGTCTTCGAATGTAATTTGCATGTGTACAAATATTTATGATACATATCATTCTTGTTTCTTTCATCTAAGAATAAGAAATTGAGTTTAATTTATTGCCATTTTTTGTTTGTTTGTTTTCTTTCTCCTGGTAGTGCTTTGGCAGTGATGGTAAACTGGTCCTACATTACTGCAAATCCCAGGCTTGGGGATGAACCACAAAGAAAAACAATTTATGACATAAATTAATCCACACAAAAGGAAAAGTTCTGAAAAGCTTTGGTGCTTATGGCAAGAGATTTTAAGAATAATGATCTACTATCAGCATGTATCTACTGTGACCAATGTTTATGCATAAGAAATCATTCAGAGTGGACTCTCCAAAGTGCATCTTGTATTAATATGTGCATCATTATAAAAGATTAGAGTACACACATTGCTACTATAGTCAATAATCTAGATCTGTCTCCAAGGTATTAAAAATGCAAATAAAGCTGCTTTATAACTGGTTCTTAAAATGATGAAAACCGTTTACGTGTGGTATTAGCACTGTGTTGTGTTTCTGCTTTTCATTGTAAAAGTTTATTTACTGAAGATTTTTTTTTTTTTCTAACCTATTCAGGGATATTCAGTTTTGAGTATGGAATATGACTTTTTTTATATCTACTTTGTTGTTGTTAGGTGCCATCAAGTCGGTTCTGACTCATAGTGGCCCTATATAGGGTTTCCAAGCAGCAGTTGGTGGAAAGAGTAGTTTTACAAACTATGGACGAATGACTCTTAGAGGTCCTCTTAGCCCCATCTTGGTAATTAATTCTTGAATCCCATTGAATCCCAACATAATTGTCATTACTCTGTATTACTTGCGTGATTCTGGAAACATCATTTCATGCATTTTCCTTCAGAATATAACTGAAAAAACATCTTAAATTTTCTGTGTATTTCATGCCATGAAAAAAAGTACCATTTTACTAATGCTACAGGTAATTGCTTAAAGTGAGACTTAAACCTTCATTCTGAATTAATGTTTGTAAAGCAGCATTAAAAAACATCCCATTCAGTTGAATAAAAGATTGGCTCATAGACAATATCACCCAGGCATACTGTGCTCAGAAATGGAACCATAATAGAAATAATGAAAATGTTGACACATTGTAGAAATTGTAACTGGTATCAATGGACTATTAATATGTATAGAAATCAATTAATATGTATTGCTCTGTAAATTTTCACCAAAAACATATAGTTTTTAAATTCCAATAAATTGAATAGAACATCCAAACAGGACCCAAGATGTGTACTAGAAGTACAAGTATTTATTTTCAGAGGTAATAGTAAGAATATGATTTTATCAAAGATAACACTTCATCTCCCTTAAATTCCAGAAAGGATTTTATGGTTAATGACCTGTCATACATTAACATTAGGAGAAGATACAGAATAACCCAGTTGACAGTGGTGAAATCATTGTTCCATTTTCCATTCACAGCCCTAACATGTGAATTATTTAGTCTCCTTATACCAGTGTAATGAATTAAGCATCTACTAATTAGCACTAAAATATTACTGATTGAATTTTGCAAACAATAGAGTTGGCAAGAAGTCTCTGTGTGAGTGTGCTGAATGCTGGGAACACATGTATTATTTGGAGTCAGGTAAATTGGATATGGGATAAGTCTGTTTTCTAGCTTTGTGTACCTACAGTTTAGTGAAGGAACTGAATATTCATAAACATACATATTTTTTAATTAAAATGTTAACATTTATGTATTAGGTTTGTTTATAAAGGTTTTGCATGATAGAGTACTACCTCAGCTATCAAAAAACTTGATTGTAATATCAATTGTTTCTTAAATCTAAGTAAATTCTTGGTTTATTGAATCTAAATTTCACTAAATTTGTTTATCTTTTTTCTTCCTTAAACTTTTAGGCTATGATTTGTCATGCCATATCCAGCCACGTATACATCTGTGGTCCCTTAAGGTTATAATATTCTTTTGATTAAGTGCTTTAGAGTTGGTTTGACTCATAGCAATCCTGCATAGGATTTTGAACCACAGACCTTGTGGTTACAGTCCAGTGCTTTCTGAAACCCTATTCAGAGAATGGGATTTACCGATGTGATGAGTGCAACAGCTTCTCCAATGTGACATATCTTTTGTGTACAGAGCACTTGGCTGCCAGGCATGCTGGCATATATAACCTATATTACACATACCTTGATAATCATAAACACCTATGTCACTAGTTTATGTACTGTATTTTCAGTTATTAATAAACGTTTTCTGTATAGCAGTGTGTGCTTTGACTCAGGCATTAGAACCCAATCGTGTAAATTATACATCTCATGAATGTTGTGTTATCTGTTTAATTTTATATTGAAAGTATTACTGTAAGTATGTCATGGCTCCCAAATGCAGCAAAACCAGTACAAGTGATAACAGCAACAAAAGGCAAAGAAGCATCAATATGGAAATTAAGCTGATTAATACAAACGTAGATAATTAGTAAATGATATTGCTCAAAATTTAGCCATGTTTGCAAAATGTCCAAATCACATAACCTATTTTATAAAATGTAGCATGGGCATTTAGCACATAAATACACATAGATTTGTGCTACTTAACAGTATCTTTACATTATAATCTTTTGATCGTTACACAAAGAAAATCACATTAACTTTTATAACATTTATTTGGAAAGTGAATTGCATTAATAAATGACTTGAAATAAACTTGGATTGCATAAGAATGTTTATCTGTAGTTAGGATGTTGTTGTTGTGCTGCGGAGTCGGTTCCGACTCATAGCGACCCTGTACAGGGTTTCTGAGGCTGTAAATCTTTACGGTTAAGACTGGATATTTACTTGGATCTGTAGTTTTCTAGAAGTTTAAATGCTAAAGGGGCCTTGCATAGCATCCTCTCTAATCAAATTAAGAAACTGAAAGAAATGTGAGATAGGCCTCAGTTTATATGCTGTTAGTTGCTATGAGCCTTAAGAAGTGAACTATCAGATCTTTGTTCCTAAGTGACCTTGGGATTTGAATTGCTCACCTTTAGGTTAGTAGCCAAGCACTTAACCCTTTAAACCACCCAGTGTCTCTTGTCTTGCCTTGGTCAAGAGACTACCACTATCTTTACTACCATTATCTTTCAACTTAAATTGTAGTAGCTACCTATTTGACTTCTCTGTCTATTCTTGTCTCCCAATCATCAATCAAGGGGGCTTCAAAAAGTTTATTGAAAACCATTGGAAAGATAATGAAATTTCCTCACACTTTTTTTGAAGCCCTTTTGTATTAACAGCAGCTAGAATGATTCATTTAAAACCAGATCATGTGTCTTCTGGACAAAATTCTCCAGTAACTTCTCAGTAAAAGGTGCCATCTTTACATTGGCCTACAGAGACCTCTGATCTGTAGCTCCCCATATCCTCCACACCCTGTCACCCACATGCATGGTGTATTTGTCAGTAAGTTTTTTCTCATATGAAGGAACACATGTATTATTTGGGCTTCTGTTTGCCTGGGAATTTTAACCAGATAATCTACATGATTAACTTCCTTCAGTCTCTGCTCAACTATCACTTCTTCAAGGTTTGTGTCCCCATAAACTCTCCAAGATAAAAAAAACTTACGTTTCTGTCCTCATTCCCTTTATTTTTGTCCATTGCATTGTGCATATGGTGTTCATTTTTCTTGTATGCAGTACTGATGGGTGTTTCCTCCATTAGAAGGTAAGCCCTATGGTACTCTACCGCCTAGAGCATTGGCTTGGTTCATGTTTACTGCTGTCAAGTCAATTCTGGTTTAGAGCAACACTATATGGTTTCCCTGGATTGGCTAGCGGATTTGAACTGCTGACTTTGCATCTTTTCCACAGAGACTGAAAATGTTGGGATTTGAATTCATAGCCCCAGCTTCCCTGAACAAAAACTAGCAATTGAATTGCCCTTGCCAATTAAGCAGTGTTTTTCCCAACTTCACCATTCATGTATGCACTCGTTCCTTGAGCACCTAGCCTGTACTGTGTGCTGGGCATTGATTGAAAGCAATATACAAGTAAACATTGTTAAGTGCCATTGAGTCAGTTCTCACTCACAGTGACCCTATATAGGGTTTCCTAGGAGCAGCTAGTGAGCTTGAACCACCGACCTTGCAGTTCAAGCCGACTACAGTCCAGCACATTAACCCACAGTGCCATACCAGGTTAAATACTGTTAAATGCCCTGGAGTGGGTTTTGACTCAGTGACCCTGAATAGGGTTTTCAGGGAGTGTTGGTGGATTTGAAGCGCCACTTTGCCCATCAAATTGACCTTGCAGTCCAGTGCACCACACCAAAATGTCAAGTCAGTTCCAATTCCTAGCAACCCTATGAACAATGGAGCGAATCACTGCCTGGTCCTCTGCCATCCTCACAATTGATACATTTGAGCCCGTTGTTGCTGCCATTGTGTTAATCCATCTCATTGGGAGTCTTCCTATTTGTCGTTGGGCCTTTACCAAGCACGGTATTTTTCTAGACTTTTGTCTGTCCTGATTTAACCAAAATATGTGAGAAGTCTCACCACCCTCACTTCAATGAGCATTCTGGCTGCATTTCCAATACAGATATGTATTTCTGGAAGTACACCATAATTCAAATGAATTGATTCTTATAGTCTTCCTTATTAGCCAGCTTTTGCATGCATATGAGGTTATTGACAATACCATGGCTTGAGTCAGGCACACCTTAGTCCTCAAGCTGACGTCTTTGTTCTTCAACACTTTAAAGAGGTCCTTTGCAGCAGATTTTCCTTAATGCAATATGTCCTGTGATTTCTTCACTGCTGTTTCCCATGAGTGTTAATTGTGAAGACAAGTAAAATGAAAAGTGTGTAAGCTGTCCTTAATGTGTTCACTATCTTGATGCTATAAGGAAGGTAATAATTCCTCTATTTCTTTTGAAGGAGGAAAGCAGTTGAGCTGAACTTGAGGTAGGATTTGAATATTATGAGATGACCACGTAGAGCCTTGTTAGGTACAATCAAGTTGGCTTTTGCTCAGAGTCAATGTACAACAGAACGAAACACTGCCCGGTCTTGCACCATTCCTTCTAGGCAGAAGGAAAAGCTTAAGCAAAAGAGTGGATTTTTAAAGCACAAGAAATATTGGCCATTTCAGTTTAACTGAAGGATATATTTGTAAATAGTAAAGAGTGAAAGATCAGAAAGGTAGTTGAGAGTCAAAATGTGG